CTGTAAGCATATCCTTTCAGACAAAAAAATTGCAAATCGATTTATTTACCAAATGGAGTTATGAGGTAACAAATATAAAAAAAGATATATCCGAATTGAAAGCCTGTTTATTTTTTGAGTCGGTTGTAAAATAAAATATAATTATGACAAATGGTACTCGTAGAAAGAATACTGTCATGCAATAGTTTTTGAAGTCACATGTTTAGTGGGTACATTATGAGACTCGGAAATGGCTCCACCTATTCGGTCATGGGAATTGGACATGTATTGTAAAAAAATTGGTGTATTTTAAATTAACGAACTGAAGAAAATTGTGAGTTGTAATTGTGTATTTAGTGGCAATAACTTTATTTCTTCATAGTGTTTTATTCATTATTTGTTTTGTGATACTTAAAATGACAAACAAGCTAATAGCCCACTAGCCCACTAGATTGAAAATGGTAATTGTCGCCTATAGATATTACAATGGATATCAAACTCTCATATGTTTATATATATATATATATATATACTAGCTGACTCGGCAAACGTTGTTTTACCATATACATTATTTCGAGAACTACAATTATTATATTCGATCGCCTATTGTGGCATATAAAATCGCGATTAAAAAATAGGTGTTGATCATAAAAGCGTGATAATTTGAATTTGTATGTATTCAATGCTAAATAAAAATAAAAAAATTGTTAAAAAAATTAAAAAAAAATTTAGGGATGGGTCACTCTTATCATTGAGAAATATGAAAAATAGATGTTGGCCGATTCTCAGATCTACCCAATATGCATATAAAACTTCATAAAAATTGGTAAAGGCGTTTCGGAAGAGTTTGGTAACAAACACCGCGACACGAGAATTTTAAATATTTTATATATATATTATATATATATATTATATATATGAGACGTATTATATATTTGAATGAATATATATATATATATATATATATATATATATATATATATATATATATATATATATATTATCTGACTCGCATCCAGTACAGATATATTTATTAGTAGCAACAGTTATATAAGAAAAACCATTGCAAATAATTCATTCAGCGATTTTAACGACGTTTAGCCTGTATTTTCACATTTATTAATTATTCTAGACTGTAAGCAGCTACATTTTCGTTAATTATATGTGGCAACTTTTAATTAGCTTATCGTTGTTACGTATAGTTAATTATTAAGTTATTACCGCTGTAAGCTTTCCTCAGAAATTAAGAAAAAAATATAACCTAAATTTTGATATACATCGTACTTCTCATGTGTTCCTAATTCCTGAGGAATGAAATGGTAATCCTGCCTGCGCTGTTAGTATATCTGACGGGGCACCAGTGAGAGATTTTTTTTAATGGATGATAATATAATAGTAACCCCGCCAGCGCTAACGGCATACGTTGGCTTGGCCTGGTGCCAAGCCAGCGTATACCATTGGTGAACTATGATAGGTGAGAATGAAAAGGCAGGTCTTTATTTAATGGGTGATAATGGAACGGTAACCCCACCTGCGCTATCGGTATACACTGGCGGGGCACCATTGAGGGATGATAGGTGACGATGAAAGCAGGCCACTTAGATCATCGTGACAAATTCCACTAGAATTAACCAAAATGTTTTCCAAGAGGAATCGCGTGGAGGTCAACCTGATATGGTGTATTGCTAGCAATGGGTCAATTAGATCTCATTGCTAATAATCCCTTCCCCCTTGAAAAGGTAGGACAATTAGCCTATCATGATGAATACTCCTGAAATTCAGCACGATAGTTTTTAGGGGGGACCACGTAAAGGTTGAGCTGCCAGAGAATATTACTAGCAATGAAACTGGTAGTCCGTATTATTAACAAGCCAAGCGTGCCAAGCGTAGCAAAATTAAAAAATCCCCTCTATGGTAAATTGTCATGAGGAACAACCCCGTTTCTTAAGACTGTCTATGGAGGAAGCATATGTCCAGCAGTGGACAAATAACAGCTGACATGATGGTGATTATGAATCAACATCTAACCGTAGCTGTATTGTTAAAAGGTGTAACTTATTTCGAATTACACTTCAGTGAGTAATACTTTTGTGTATAAAAAAAATATGGCGGTCTATAAAAGATGGCGGTAGCCGCTGGTTATATTTTTTATTGCCTGCACCTGCCTATTAAGGGCCCTCCATTCGAAATGGCATTATAATATATTTAAATGAACGTTTGAAAAATGTTCGTTGGTGTAAGGTGTCAGTGATAGCGATTTTAAATTTACTTTTCTACGAGTTGCTTTGCTATTTGCGAGTTTTTATTTTTACGCTTATATACAGTGAGGTTATACTGCAAATAAACTATTTTCGTGGGTTCTTCTACTTAGTGTAAGCTCTTGCTAATAAAAGAAAAGACTTTTTTTTCATATGATATAACTAGAGGAATCTGTTCCTGTCATTTATCATGAGGAAACAAATGGTAATTTTAACAAGATTACCATTTGTTTATGGTAATTGTATTGGTTTTATAGGTAATATCGTTATATAACTCGAAGTAATTTCCCATTTAAGACGAATTTATTGATACCCAATTTATTAAAATCCTACAAGTTGTTTAGTATATATGTTGAATTGAGAACATATTACTTAAAAAGAAATTCCTATTAGTCTATCCGACAATAAGAATTATTGCGTAGTTTAATCGAACAGGTACTCAATTATTCTAAGATCGGATATATAAAAATCACGTACTACCTACTGCTATTACTTGAGTATTCAAGAATTTCTAGGCATCTCATTCGCACAAGTCTAGATCACCTTCTTTATTTAAAAAGGCTCAAAATTAATATTTAACTAAATTATCTTCACTTTAATATAATTTACACTATAGTAATATATTGAATTTATAAAATACATTTATAATTATAACAGCACTGAAGAAGTCTATGTAATAAAAATTTAAATACAATCAATTCGCTCCTCTCAGCTCGTGTTTACCCGCTGACACTGCGACCCATAAACATCAACCAAACCCGTGACGTGTGAACTATCAACCAGCCATATCGAAGCTCACACCTGCCCACAGTCCACAGATGTGGACAAAACCCAACTTATTTACATGTATTACCGTACCCACTATTGTCGAGTCCGTAAAATTTTAAGATTTTCTCGCCTGTCACTCCGGTAGCCTTCAGAACTGCGTCGGCATTCTCGAGATGTTTTTGTTTATTGTAAATTCCACATTTGGTATTTTACTACAGGCTTTGAATAAGGAGAATTTTAAATTCAACTGTATTTTTTAGTTGATTTTCAAAGAGAAGTATGTCTGTGGTGCAATGTGTAGTTAAAGCATTTTAAATTTGAGAGATTTTAAGCGATTTTCAAAGAATGCTCTGGTTTTGTACGTGTATGTTTGTGTGCAAATTATGTGATATCAAAAATACTACAGAGAGTTTTCTTTGTAAGTATCTTATTTCCAATCATTTGTTTACCGTTAAGAGGGTGTAATTATAATTGCATGGCTATGTTTCTGCTTAAAGTGCCCATATTGCCATATGGCAATGCAATTATAGTACACGGAAGCATAAAAACTTAGCTTTTAAGAAGGTACATGAAGGGTATCATGGATGTTACTGTGTGCCCCACAGCAAGCGACTTGTACAAAGTCTCCCTCTGGTAATATAATAATATATATAATAGCGGAAATTGAGTTCGAAACTCATCATTAATCAACTCATGCACGTTTATAATGAAATACAAATATACCTACTCAATTTCCATCACCAACATAAATATACAAAACTTCCGTCGTGTCAAATGTTTAAAATATATCTTCAATCTTGCATAACAAATTTGTAAGTAGATCATGTCTGTGTACATCACAAAAAGCTATTGGACGGATTTTGATGGAATTAAACTCGTTTCTATGACATTGGATTTAACAAGCTCGTTCACAAGTGTAATTAATACACACCATGATAACAGTTGGTCTCTAATAACCCCATCTGGGAATACAGTTTTGATAACATCTATTTTTTATTTCTATTCGAACTCAACTTTTAAAAGAAGGTAATGTTTAAATACACTATCGGGACTTAATGCGATCAAGAATTTGCAGGTAAATAGATAGATAAGTTACTTCTTCACCATTAATCGTAAGCGAAACAAAAAAAAATTGGTGGTTTTATGTGCCTCTACGGTGAAAAAGCAACGAACTCAGCATTAAGTTGCAAAGTACCCGTAGTGCTGATTTTTTGCTGGTACCTTGTAAAAAGGATGAAAATTTACTTCGAACTCTCAATAATTTTCCCTTTGAAATATTATATGCATTTCCAGACCTCTTATATAATCCTGGGTAAAATTAAAAGTGTGTCAAGTGTAGTTATATATTATAAATTCGTTAAGTCTGGATAATGTATTTAAATATGTGTAAACAACGCGAAAGTTTAAAACTAACTAACGGGCGATGTTTTTCATCTTTGTATGTCCAAACATAACCTTTAGTGGCATGACCAGAACTTCGATTAATAAATGGAATATAAAACAGTTATGATTATGAGGATGTTTCTAATCAAATTTAAAGGAAGACCGTATATTTATTTATTACATCCACTGGGTGAGCTTTACAGTCTTCCAATACGCTCACCCAAGGAAGCATGAGTACAGTACAATAACATATAAAAAAGAATATTACACAAAAAAAAAACAAAAATAATATAAAAAGATTTAACTCAACCAAAAAATGTCTGAACACAAATACTCTGTGTCTACCCGATAAAACTCCAGCAAGTTGGAGGCAAATACATCCAATAGCGGATACTGGCTCAAAATATCATGCAGTAGTTTCAATGCAAGAGATAGGGGAGCTTGCTTATCCAACTCTGTTCTTCGTAATAGTAATAAACAGTTAAAAATATTCCGATAATTTGGGTTTTGATAACAATTAAAATTTAAAAATATAATATGCAGTTTGAGACAAGTATTTAGAAGGGAATCCCATGAAAATTGTGTGATCAAAATTAATAAAAGAAACAAATGCACAGTTAAACATAATTTATTTCATATTATTTTAAGTATCACAGATCCATTTATTTTAATAATCATCACGTTAACAAAAATATATATATAGTCTACGGTGGCGGTGTATAATCATTTACAAAATCATGATTACATAATAACTACTTGTTGTAACTGCGACACAAGTATATACAGCACTTTATATACAGAAATGTGAAGATGCGATGCAGGATTAAGGTGAATCACTTCAGAACGACACGTGACTATGGGTGGCCGTGGATGAATATGCTAATCTTGATAAACCTGTAATCCTTTAGCTGTTTCTGTGTACGCAGGGATTATATAGTTTGTTAATACTGACACACAAAAGCTTTCTTGCGTAAAGTTGCTTACAGAAGCTAGTGTGGCAAGATGGGTGTTACGTAAAGCGAAAAGTTGATCAAACATGTTTAGTATCGAAATCTTTAAAGGAGTACCCGAGATTTTTGTAGCGGAAAATGAAGAGGCAATCAATGTTAAGAGATGTTTAGGCAATAATATCATTGATATCAAGGTAAAGTTTACGGGGTTCTTTAAGACATTTAAGACATCGATTGTTACAATAAAACTATAGAATTTAATAGTATCAATATTGTCAGATTATAATGAGAGATAATTATTATTTTCTTTGTCGTATCAAAAATGGTGACACTAGCAAAATTTACCTAATTTAGTTTATACTATCTAATATGACTTGCAAAGTTGCATTTGTTACATTAACATGAACTGTAGGTAGGTGTAGATATAAGAACGTTTAGGAAAGGACTTCTGCATGTAGTATTTCCAATTAAATTTCATTCCCATAAATGCAATTCTTCAGATTAAATAACAGTTTTTAAGACAGGGCATTATATCAATATTTGATCGTAATCTAAACATGTCATTAAGCAAATTATGATCAAAAATGAGAAAATGATGTCTTATTAGATAGTAATGACGTGTTTTGAAGTGATTCACCAGAACATTATGTTTATAGTGATCAGTAAATGCAATTGGCTTAAGTCTTTCTAAGTGTTAGGCGTTACCATTTTCAATTACAACTTCTGCGTTAAGAATAATTGATTTTTAGCGTAATTGAGTTTTATTAATGAACAGTAATTATAGTTATCATAATAATATTGGCTAACATTAAATAGTCCTAGAAGAGTTATAATTGAAATGGTTATGCCTCTTTTCTCTTAAATAATAAAAAAGACGTAACTACTTTAAGAATACGATTAAGCTCCGATAGTTGAGTTGAATATCTATAACATTTTTTGAAGATTATTGCCAAATAGCGCAGTGGCATCATAGATTTGGCACAAGTTCGAAATTCCAAACAAGCGGTTCATTGAAAATAAAAACAGGCAACCAAACGAGAACTTAAGCAATAAATTTTTGACGTTGTAATGAACACTCAAACATTTATAAAAATTAACAAAATAATCAACCGTAACCAACATGTTGGTATTGTTTCTTTAAAAGACATTGTAGGCACTATTATTGCTACTATAATATAATTTATTTCCCATCGCTTATCTACAGCATAGATAATATTCTATACAAAATATACTACGACGATTTTACAAAACCTTAGGCCGTTGGCCTACGAAACTATACTTTCTCTAACGTAACATTTAAACTACTCATTATTTCACCAACAAATCATTCATATAAATCCATCATAATTTATACGCCTATACCTTTCACATTCATTTTAATTTACAATTCTGAATAGAAAATTATCGAGTAACCGGCTCGAAGCGTGAATCGCTAATTAAAGTCAAGACCTGACTTGTCGATGATTCATAACCAAGATGGCCGTCCTTGGAGTAAGTCGGCGGCATCGTGTCGATCCATTTGCCTAAGAGCTGCAGCTAGGCCAGCTGTAGCACCGGGACCGCGTTCTCTGCATTCCCACAATTCCAAGATAGCCTCAGTGGGTGAGCTCTTTGTGGCGAACCACGTTGTATAACGATCAACGCCGAGTCTCGCCGCCAGCGCGCGCCAGTCGTTACCGCGTGCATTCGGTGGATCCAATATAGCGCATAGCTGCCGTTTTATTCGTGCACTTAATTTAAATGACCCTTCGCCCGCACACTCGTTGACTCCCGCTTCGCTCACGGTTAAGTTACGTTTACCACTATCGCTCCCCTCTTCGCTCCGGCACATTCGAGCCTCTAAAAGATTCTCAGTTATGTTAAAACTACGTTGAGATTCGGCACGAGGGGAGCGCCCTCTCGGCGATCGACTACGTATATCTTCGAGAGATATTCGGAATGTCTGCTTGTAGGAGGGATTGGTCCTTTGACATGCGGAAATATTAAAATCAATATTGTCACAGTCGTGTGTCCTTTCCAGAACAAAACTGCAATGCAAAGCGTTGTAATTTGAAGTCCAAACATGGTTGAATGGTATTTCCTGGTAGCCTATACCTGGTTTTGGTTTCCAACCAGGACTTACGTGTTCCAAGTTCAAACATAAATTAGAACCACCATCTTGGAATAACAATGTCTTAGCACGTTCAAGTAAAACTCCACCTAGCTTTTTCTCTTGCTCCTGACAATAGTATGGTGCGCAAGGTGTATCTTCAAATACATATAACCTAATACTATACTCTGTACACGATTCATTAATAGATGATGGGGCATATATGGCTAACTGTAAAGCTTTAACTGCTTTACCATTGAAGCTCTCGCCTACTAATACAAATGTAGACAGCATATCTGTCACAAGATATATTTTGTCGTTGTCAAGCTGTGTAAAGACTGGAGTATTAATAGTTTCTTGGCCCAGACCAACAACTTTCCTCCATTGTGGCTGATTATTATCAGACTTTGCATTGTTATGATCAATAGCATACAGTGAAAGGTTCCAGAACCCGTGTTTAAGACTTGCACAGTGAGGGATCTGCAGTATTACCGATTTGTTTAATTGGAGACGCGGAGGTCCACATTTTACTACTGGACTCAGCTGCGTTATACCTGCGGGGCAAAAATTGTTTTTAATATAGGACGTCAGACTACAGCGCGATACATGCGATGTCTTAGCCTTGGGGTAACTCGTGTTTTTCTTGACATAATTACACCTCTCTGGCATTTGATAGCGTATTAAATAAATTAGATTTATTAATACCCATACGGAGTTTATCGCAAAAACATATTTGCCGATCATCCACACAAAGTATGTTCTAAAGAAATTACATGTTGTTGCATGTTTAAATTTAATCATATAATTTATACAACAATTTTTAAGATGGTATCTAATTATAGATAAAACATATCAGTTTTTAAATATTATAATGTAATTAATGAATGATTGACTGTCTGTGCTTTTAGGATAAATATAAATTGAAGATTATAGAAAAAAATGGTAATAGCTACGAATTAAATATGAACATCTTTGCTATAAATGACATTATGATGGGACAGCAAACTTGTCTGTATAATCTAGTAAAAAAACATTGTTGTGTGACACATGTATTTCATAAAAGGAATATTTTTTATTGGTATTATGATACCTACCTTTCCCAAGTCTGGGTCGGTATCGGTCGTCCTTTACAACGGCTACGTACATCTGTTCTCTTCTGCCCCTGCTTAGAGCACTTTCAGGGACTGATAGTGCCACGCCAGCAGCTGGCAATGCCAATCTCGCTCCAACGTTTGATACTGAGAGTGATTGCGAGGTTGGTGAATTTGAAACCAGTTCAGCAAGTTGAAGAGTAACCGATTCATTTGCAGCGTCGTACATGGAGCCAGCTGGAAGAAAAATATTTTGTTAAATCTCTTTTCATACCACTGAGGTGGCAAACAAGCATACGGCCCACCTGATGGTAAGTGATGACCGTAACCTATGAACACCTGCAATACCGGAGGTATTACGCGCATGTTGCCGACCCTGAAGAAACCTCTTTACCGCCCTTTTGAAGAATCTCATGCTGTAGTCTCTTGGGAAAACTTCAACAGGGAGCTCATTCCATAACCTGAGTGTTCGTGGGAGGAAACATCTCAGAAACCGCGCTGTACGCAACTATTAGACTGTAGGATATGAAGATGAACTCCTCGTCGATAGCGAGCCGTACGATGGTAAAAAGTGGCCGCGGGCATCATATTTCTCCTCATCATTATAAGAACTCCACGTTCCACTATTATTAGTTTTATTAAGAGTATCATGGGCATCACAGTATATTTTCTGTGATATTGATAGTGCTGTTAATGTTTATAGGTAACATTTACCATTTTCTATCTAGTAGGTCATCAGTTTATTTGCTGTTCTAAGTTTCATAAAAGAAATCTTCCTGGACATCATCGTTGGTAAATTCTGGTGAATTAGTTGTGATAGGTCATGTGATTTGACTTTATTTTTACTTATAATTTTTTATTGGTACATCACTATCAAAAATCAGTAAAGCTGGGAAGGGGGGGGGGAGGGATTGTTAGTCCTAAAGCCCTATCACTCAACCTCCGCGCGGTTTCTCCTGGAAACCATTGCGGTCAATTATTGCTGAATTCACGAGGAGCAAACTGACCTATTTCAATCTTTACTTTTCATGTCTTATTGAATCCTCTATAGCACATACTAATAGAGCAAGCAGTGTTACCAATCCATGACAAAAAAAAAATATTATAATTTATTTATTCATATCTTAAAATCTTTGATTATAATATTAAAGTTATTACGTAGCTATCGACATTTTTAATTGGAAATCATATTTAAACTATTAATAGCCCTGAACTTAACTATATTTTAGACAATAGACTATTATGTTATTATACTACCGATTAAACGCTAATGAGAAATAAGATACCATAGAGATACGATCTTAGTTTAATCGACGAAGGTTCCTTCCTGCTTTAACTATAAAAAAATTTCCTATATCATATTTAACTAGATACTAGCTGTTTCTTGCGGCTTCACTTGCTCTAAGGCCCATTATTTTCCGTTATCCTAGGATTTGGAGAAATCCGTTATAAGCCCGTAAAATCTTATGTAACAAACGCCTGTGTATGCAGATTTTAAGCTCTGGTGTTCTTGGTCAAACAATTGATTACCAAGACATAGTTATCCTAGTATAAGTCAATAAATCATCATCGTCATCATATCAGCCCACTAATTGTCCACTGCTGAACATAAGCTTTGCATTTCATTGTCTCTGTCTACCCTAATGGGAGACAGACGTGATAGATATGTATGTATGTATTATAAATATGAAAGTGAGTTTGTTTGTAGGTAACAAAGCGACTTATTATTATGAAATTTGGTATGCATGTTCTATAGAGAATGGAGGAGGACATAGGTCTACTATAGGTTCAAAAGTGGGGTAAAGAGGGTAATACCCCTGATATTGCAGGCGTTCATAGGCTACGGTAACCGTTTACCATCAGGTGGGCCGTATGCTTGGTTCACGTGAACAAAGTCGCGGATAAAAGACAGCTGTATAAAATATTTATAAAATGTACTTACAACTGGTGAAACAACTAGACACCGAATGCTCGGATTCGCTGTAAGGTTTGCTATCATAATCGTCGCTCTGCCCTTTGCTGGATGCACATGGCGTGATTTGATGGTCCACCGGAGACGCGTAGCTGCAGAAGAGATGTAAATTAAATATGCATAATTAAAAATTTTGATACAAATTAAAAGGGCATGTTTTTCATAATTTACCTATATATATATATAAACCTTTGAGGTCGCGTCGGCCATGATCCTTAAGATTTTTTTTAATGAATGACAATGGAAAGGTCGCCTCGTTTATGTTATTGTTATACGCCGCAGCGGCATCAGTGAGGGATGATAGGTGAGGATGGATCAGGTCAGTCAGAGGTTACTGATTCATTGTCTTCCCATAAAATCGACATAGACACACCGTGTTAGTATAGGATTTAAAGATTTTTTTTTGGTTTTCCAATAATAAATCAGCATTGAATGTTTAGATTAGATTCAATTAAATTAAATAAGTTAAAATTAAATTAAATGAGATGAGATGAGATAAGATGAGGTGACATGAGGTAAGACGAGTTTTTTTAATGGATGATAATGGATATTAGCCCCGCCCGCGCTGTCGGTATACACTGGCGAGGCACTAGTGTGGGATGAAAGCAGGTCAGTTGGCCCATAGTGATGAATTTATAAAAAAAACAATCAAGATGGTTTCCAGAGGGAACCGCGTGGAAGTCGATCTGATAAGGCATATTGATGGCAATGGGGCCTCTAATCCCATTACTAACAATCCCTTTTCCCCTATGGTGTGTTAAGGTGTAAGTAAGTAAGTAAGGTAGTAAGTCTCGAAGATTATTGAAAAATAAAAATGAGTTGTACCTATTAGTGAGATGAGGTACATCGTAGTGATGCTCAGCTCTTGTATCGGGTTGCGGATGCTCGTATCTTGGAGGTCGATGCTGCATCAGGTCCGGTGCCAAAGACAAGGACTGTTTCTCCACTGTCGGGTATATTTCCGGTTGGAAATCTGTTTAAAAAAAAGAAGAATTATAGAAGACATATGTATAAAATTTATTTATTGAACTCTAATGGACCCAAACAGTGTAAAAGGTGGACTTAATATAACAACAGTGTCATTTATTGGACAGCAGGTATAAACAAAAAATCACAGTGCAATGTAATGAGCAAACAAACAGAAAAGATTATATAAAAATGAAAATAAGATAATACCCGACGATGGATTTCGAACTGTTTCATAAACATATAAAATTTCAAATATTTGAATTCAGAACGCTGAATTGAATTTGTTGTGCAAAATAAAAAAAATACAGCTTCTTAATTTAAATACTATTTAGTAACAAAATTAATATGTGATATACACACGATTAAATCCAATTAATTGGAAAAATAATTATCAAAATCGGTTTAGAAGTGGCGACACAATCACATCAACAGAAACATCTACAAAAAGAGACGAATTATATATATATTCTTTATTGCACTTGTAAGTTACATATAAACTAATCTATTTATAAATGTTGTGAGCAAGAGTGGACTTATCTCTGACAGAGATTTCTTCTTCAATTATTGTCTTTTTGAAGTCCTATATACGCGTAAACTCACCAGTCCTCGTCATAGTGTAGAGCGAATGATCCCTTGTCTTCCTTTGTAGCAGTTTGTAGACCACGGCAGCCCCCGCTAGGAATACCACTACGGCCACTGCGATGCCGATGTACAGAGGCACGTCGCTGTAGGCAGCAACTGTTGGTAATATTTAACCATATAGTGTGAGAACATTCGAATTAACTTACGTGGAGTCGAGAATGCTCGAGTAGTTTCGGGACCATCACGGACCCGTAGTCAAGAGCAGCTGTGTAGAGCGCGAGCCTCGGGAGTATTGTTTAATTTATTGTAAAATTAACATTAGCTTTTTACGTGAGTTTCCTATGGATCTTTTTTTTTTTCTATTTAAAAACTATTCTTAATTTATAGTATTTTTATAGTCAAGATACTAAGAGGCAACAAACAGACACACTTTCACGTAACATATAATAAAACAATTAAAATATTACTTTTATATTATATATAGTATATACTTTTTTTTCTTGTTTTTGTCCTTTCATACCTATTAGTCTCGTTATTTATCCATAGTGCTATGTCTATAGGCGATGGTAACCACTTCCCATCAGGTAAGTTACGAACTTATCATTCTAAGTAAAAAAAAAAAAAACTTCTCGATAATTTTCCACGAAAACTCAAGACTGTTAAAAATGAAAATTTAAGGTTAATCTAGTTTGAACTTCAATCAAGTTTAATTATAGATGAAAGCGCATACTTGAAATCTGAATAATAATATAATTTTCAAAAGGCCACTTCGAATGCTTGTTCCTGGAACCCTTTTTAAGATTGTTTCTTTAAAATTGATATAAATTACGAAGTAAATTATCTATTTATGAAAAAAAAAAGTTATTTTCATACCTCGACCATGTTTTTAATAAAAAAAAAAACTTTGTCTCATAAAATACGTTATAAGTTTTCAAATAGTTAAAAACTTTTTGATAAATCTTGTATAATAAGCGATATTAATGTATTATCAACAAAACAAATATTTACGGAAGGTAAAAATGAGTTGATAGAATCAAAATCAGAGGGAGACTTTACAAAAGTCGATTGCTTCGGTACCTCTGTCCCATTCGTGTTTCAACCGTGAAGCAGTTGTGTTTGCATGGCTGTGTTTCGGTTTGGGTGGGATATGGCGTGAACTTACTGGGTACAAAGGAATAACATCTGAGTCCTTAGGAATGGCAACGCTTGGGGGGTATCATGGGCGAAACAGTATACTCTGTTATGTCCATGGTACTGCTCATATCTATAGGCGATGGTTACCACTTTCCATCAGGTGGGCCGTCAGCTTGCTTGCCATTCGAAGTTGTATAAGAAAAAACATTTTTTTTAATTTTTATATGAGTAATATATAATGATAATAAAAGAATATTGTGGCTGAATATAACTCTAATTACAAAGAATTAAAATTGAAAATACTGTAAACTATTTTCAAGGGTGAATAGTTATATTCTTTTTCTGATCACTCGCTGTGAACATAAAATGTCTATGTGTGTTTCTTGTACAATCTTCAGTACGGTAATCCCATTTACCATCAGACTGGCCGTATGCTTGTTAGCCACCATATTAGAATAAAAAAGTATATTGAAAATATCTTTCTTACCCAATTTTGGTGTAATTAGCAAACTTACAGACGTTAAAAAGAACTAATATAATTTTACTATTTGTGCTTGATGGGTTTACCCATTAATTTTTATAAAAAATATCCTTAGTTTATGATATAAAATATTTTCATGGAATTATCAACAAGAAATCACAAGGGGTTTTAAAAATGCCACTAAAACTAGATTTACTTCATGCGTCACCACATTTGAGCGTGCTTATAAATTACATAGATTACCCTATATGGTCACCCATCCAAGAAAAGACCGCACTCAGTATCCCTTTACCTCATTGATCGATCAGTCGAGTACAAAAGCAATGAGAGGTTAACAATGAACAATGCAAATTCTTAATAATTATCGCACTATCATTTTTAAGTTCGCAGGTTCGCAGATAAAAAGAAAAAAGCGAGCTCTTACTGGGCGCACAATGAAGCCATCGTTCGATAGCCCGATAACGAAGTGGGACGTTACACGGGTAATTAAAAACAAGGCGCGGTGTAGCCAACGTTGTGTTCCGCTTGGTACCTTTAGTTTTGACGTGACAGAGTGTTTTTTCTTTAATTAATGATAATGGAGTGGTTACGTCTGCATTATCGGTACACGCTGGAGGGGCAACTGTTTCGAAATTTTAAAACAAACAAAACAATTTCGAAATTTCTATTATTCCCATTTGACTTTTTATAAAGAAAATAAAACTATTCGTTGAGAACGAGAGAGAGACACAGGCGTATGGATAGACGATTTCGTACTATGAGGGTCCCATTGACATCCTATACATCCTATTATAATATATCCTGAAAAAAACCCCAAAAAACTCTTTTTTTACTTTTTTTTTATAATTAAATGACGCATAGTGATTTAGAGAGTACGAAATTTTATCAAAATTCATCATCATCATCATCGTCATCATCTTCCTACCCTTATCCTAATTATTATTTGGGATCGGCGTATTACAGTAAATTTTAATATATTTGTTGTTTATGTTAAGAGATGACTAAGTGACTGTAATATTTGTATTACGTTTAATTTAATTAATGTCTTATATACTGTATGAAATTATTGTATCTTTCGTATTTACTTGACATTCAAAAACATATTTTTGTTTATGAATAAATAAAAAAAAATGTTTTTTTCTATATAACTAAAGGATTTGGCTTATAGTTTTACGACCGGCCGCCTGCGTGACGTCAACCGTTTTTGGGAAATCTTATCAAAATTATTAAAAAAAATTCTAAGAGTAATTAGATAAACAGTAATTAATATTTTATTTTAAAAATCTAATTTAAAATGGGGTCCAGTAAGGAACATAACTCGCGTTCATGAGTTCAGAGCGGTTCTGAACCTGAATATAGTGAAGTGGTTATGTCCGCTGCTCACTTGGTTAGCTGGCCATCGGCAAAAAAAAAAAAGAATTAAGCTGCTAACAACAGTTGTTTTTTTTTTAATCGTATTTTATATTCAGCCAGATTGAATTGTATTTCATTAAGAAAATGTTACAATAGAATACATAATTAAGTAATGATTAAAATTTTTTCTTACAATTATTTGTCCATTTTAAAAAAAGAAAAACAACGTTAATTGACTAGGTATTTTTAACTATTTATTTGTTTTAGATATGATTTATATTTTGCCAAAACACACAAAATGTTTTAGTGAATTATTAAAATGCACTTTTGTTAAAGATATTGACTGGCACCTTGTAAATAATTCAACCATACAAAAATACATACCTAGTATCGAATTTGCTAGATTGCGTTTAACGTCAGATACAATTAAAGTTGACACTACGTTTGAATCCATTTTTTTAGTTGGCTGAGAGATTGAAAACAAAATTTCAAAATTTACATAAGCTTGTTTTAAAAGGGCATCTGCAGCTTTTGATATATTTACTTTAAGTTTTTGATTTTTGATATATAATATTAAAGAGAAATTAATCCTAACTAATATTATAAATGTGTAAGAGAATGAATAGTTATTAAATTTGAAGCAAGATGTAGGAACATTCTACGTTCACGTCAATACGTTAACGAACGATACGGTCATCGAAGTGGCGTGTTAAAAATAGTTTGCTATCAATTTTTTTATGCAACTTAAAATGGCAAACAAGCTGACGGCCCACCTGATGGAAAGTGGTAACCGTGGCCTATAGACATGAGCAGTATGATGGATATAACAGAGTATATATTGTTTCGCCCATGATACCTCCCATTCCTGAGGACTAAGGTGTTATTCCTCTGTACCCTGTAAATTCACTGCCATATCCCACCCATCAAACCGAACAGCCATGCAAACACAACTGGTTCACGGTGGAAACATGAATGAGACAGAGATACAAAAGCAAACGACTTGTACAAAGTATAAATCACAGTATATTTCCAATAAACTTTAATGAATTCGACAACAAACGTTTTTGCTAAATTCAATTTAATTTCAATAACAGACCGTTTAAACGTCATACAGTCTGTATTTAGGGCGTGGGTAATTACAGATGCATACTGAATGATATATGTCCATTAATTATCGTTAAAACTGGCTGATACGTACATTGGTTAGTTATTACTTGACATACGTTTAATTATAGTTAACTATATTCCGTGGAATCATCCGCATGAATTAGTTCATTAAGTATCGCACGTGTTACATTAGGACAAAACTTAGCCCAGTACCAAATTTTATTGCAATCCGTTCAGTAATTTTCACGTGAAAGAGTAATAAACATCGATCCATTCAAAGTTGCAAACTTAAGCATTTACATGAGTAAATACACAGTTAAAAATGCCCAGACTCAAGAATAAATTATCCAAAATTCTATTATTATCCAAATTTCATTTTTTCCAAAACTTTCTTCAATTATTTCAACTCTTTGACAAATTTTAATGTAAAATTGCAAAAGGAAAAAAATATTAACACTGGCAATGTGATACCGTGAACTAGCTTACAGTATGCAATTCCCAGGAGTCTAAATAAAAAACAAGGTTAATTAAAATTCAATTCAATATACTTGATTAAGTTGACCCCACTACAGGTACTGCATTATTTTTATATTTTCTCATAATCTGATAAGTAGAATGAATAAGAACTTGCCTTTTATTCTTGGTAAAGGATTCAGTTCAAATGTTTAATGTAAGACCATAAAATATTTAGACCCAATAACGTAAATGGTATAAAAAATAATCATACTACTGGTGGGACAATTTTAAATGCATAAATTCAAGATACTGGCCAGAATTCCACAAATACACCTTTCAAATGTACACGTGAAACATTCAATGGCGCAATAGCTGTGGGGCAGTGCCCATAAATCTCTGATATAAACAAGCATCAAGTCTCCACAAGTTTTATTGCTAACCAATGTTTAAAATTCAATAAATCACCCGAACATCCGCTACTTGATTTCATACGTTTAATAAAAACCGCGAAAATTATAATCGTGTTCATTTACGAATATAAACGACGAATCAAACTTATCGGATTAATTTCAAAATTTGTACGCGGTGTAAACATTTGTCAGTGCCAGCCATATATTCGTGTCTGTTGCAGATTGCAGATACGAAATCCAATCGAAATTTACAAACCCTTGTAGTTCTGCCCATAACGTGGTAGGAGGCCTTGCGGAATTAAATCCTCTTGTTAAAATATTGCGAGACAATATAGACTCTAGAGTCAATGAATGGAAAGATGATAATGGCGCGGAAGATTGGATTGGATATGTGGATGCAGTTTGCGATCACCCGCTGAGTTCACTCGACAAAATAACAACAAATCATTCACGGGGTCCACCTCCGGTAATGATGGCTGTACCCAACATAAATAGATTTTTACTGTTGTTTGTTTATTCAATATACGAGAGCCTTATTTGGCTTTATTGAAAAGCTATTATAGAAGCATAAAATAAATTTTATAGCGCTTAGGAAATGGGAATGTCGTAAAATAGACAGGTGCATTTCTAGTCACTGGAGTGTGTTCACTTACTACGTATATTATAGCGATCTTGAGTAGCGGTAAAATATCGATGTAGACTTCCCCGATAGCAGAATGATTGAGTAAAGTGACTGATAAATCATGTGTAAACAGTTTGTTAACATTTTAAAAGCACATCATTAACTTCCAACCCATATGACTACGATCTCTAAGAAAGGTTTATACTTATTAAGTGTATTTTATGCATTTAGTAACAAATTAATTAAATATACAGATTCTTGATGGTTTTTTTTCCAACAAAAGATAATCCGTTTATTTAAAAAAATACATGAATTACTGTAAAAAAGAGAATAGTAAAATATAGAAAAACAACATTGAAAATTGGAACACTTTTGATTATATATTAGGACTTAAGCAAATGTTGTCCGAAAATAATTATTAATGAAAATTACAAAACTAACATCTGTTCCAAAATATAATAAAAAAGAATTAAACGAAAGAATAAATAATCTAGAAAAACAATTCAAATCACATTCAGACAATAATTTTAATAAACAAAAACATTCAAATTCTATCTCGGGATACTATTAACATACTTCCCGAGTACATTATTTATAGGATCTTTAGTGTGTTTCGTTAAATAAATGACATGTTCACAATCTACTACGATGTTTAGGCAACAAAAGATGAAAAGCCGCTATAAAATTTTCGCCATTTCCCCTTTGTGTGTCGGCAATTAGGCTAATGAAGTGGTGCGAGCGCCGGCGCGAATGAATGGCCCCTCGAAACGTTCTTCGCATTCACCTTTCATATGGGTAATTTGCTGATGGTTCGCATTCTATGGCCTTACTTGAATTAGTTGAAAGCAACGGCATAATAGTCCTGGAGTAGATAGTGACTTCCCTTTTAATTCTCCTGATGAATTATTAGTATCAATTTGGACTAGCAATGTTTTCGTGTTAATGAATTGTGGCGGTTTTAGTACAGTTCATTCGTTTGTAAGAAAATTATTATCTTATTCGTTTTTTGGTGACAGAAACAGTTTTTTATCAGATATTTGTTAAAATATGATTATTTTTTAAATTTGTAGTATTATTATAGTTGTAATTAATTTAATTTAAAAACTGCAAGATAATTCAATCAAATGTGTATGATTACAAAGATCTGCAAATATGTAATCGAAAATATATGTCAAAACCATGGAAGTCTATTGGGTTACTTCATGTCGTATATGTGGTCCATGGCACCCGTCATGCGTAAATAATGTTTTACAATAAATAACAATCAATCTTTATAGAGAGATATACAATAGCAATTTATAGGGAAATATGTCAGAGATTGTAGATTTATTTAGCGTGAAAAGCGGAGCATTTGTGGGGAAGAAGAAATTGTTAAGTAAACCAAAACAACTCACGAGGATGCCTGGGAGCTATTTATCAAATGTTCGATAAACAGAATGGGAAATTGAAACTGAGTCAACGGGGACCACTGAAATGATTTATTGCCATTATAAACAAAATATGGACTGATCATTTTCCATTCCAAGATTGAAACGCTGCCGCCGGGGACCTGGCTCCGTTGGAATGTTTCGGAATGTTATTGAATCAATTTTAATCGTTTAACCCTCGCTTGAGGAATTGAAATTTACGTTGAAACCCTTTTTGGGAATTAGAAGAATTTATTCGAATTGTTCTAAAAAGCTACGCCCATTTCGAAAGGGAAGTTGTAAAGACAAAATAATTGCGTATACCTTTATAAGGCCATACGGCAAAACGGCAATTGTGGCAGACCATATACAAGCTACAGATATGAATATTTAGTCGACATTTTGGTTCAGAGCACCATAAAATTTTAGGCTCTCTTCTAAATTTAGACGATATGATACGACCCAGATGGTCACGGTGCCCGATTTTAGTATCTCTCGAATCTTTTTAACGCGGCCGCCAAAATGAGACCCGTGCTTCACCTTTGGTTTACTTTCAAGTGCGCGATATTTGTTTGAGTTGCGGGGGGTGTGTATGTCTTAATAAAACGGTAGGTCGCAGTTACAACCGATAGCCTGTTATAAAGCGCCCAGTACACGTAATATTTCATAGTTATGAGCGCGCGAGCAAAAGGAAGTATATTTTTAGTGTATGTGGCATCTGGACGAACGGAACCGTGTGTCTTTCACAGAATTGGCTCAATTAACATGTCTCTGAAGGTGTCGTTTCATAATTTGTAATTCCCATGTGACAAGCAATCGTAAATTCCTATAAAATCTCGATGTTTCTAATTGTGTGTCTATGTGGAGTTTGTTGATATTAAAGATGAGATATCGTCCTAATTAAGCCTGATGGGCTACGAACGGAAATGTGGAGATGATATAATAATATATTTTAAAAAAAATATTGGAAATGTTAAATTGTCTATTTATAAAGATAATATTTTAAAAAGAATAGGGCAGAATAGGGAAGAGGGAGAGCAAGGCATAGTTAAATCAGGCAGATCAATAGAGATACCACTGTCCCATTCGTGTTTCAACCGTGAAGCAAAGGAAGGAATTGTTAGTAATGAGGAGTTTAGTCCCCATTGCTATCAATATACCTTATCAGGTTAATATACCCTCCACGCGGTTTCCCCTGGAATTTATCGTGACCAATTTATCATTGAATTCGACACAATGGGATAACTGACCTACCTTTTCATCCTCACCTATCACCGCTCATTGATACTCCGCTAGCGTATACCGATAAAGCAGGCGAGGTAACTATGCCATTCTCACGCATAAAAACCGTGAAGCAGTTGTGTTTGCATGGCTGTGTTTCAGTTTGAAGGGTGGGATATGGCGTGAATTTATAGGGTACAGAGGAATAACACCTGAGTCCTCAGGAATGGCAACGAATGGAGGGTATCATGGGCGAAACAGTATACTCTGTTATGTCCATGATACTGCTCATGTCTATGGGCAACGGTTACCACTATCCATCAGGTGGGCCGTCAGCTTGTTTGCCATTCTAAGTTGTATAAAAAAAAAGATACCATTGGTGTAAAATATCCATTCTATAGATTGTAATAAGAATGATCAAAATTGCTACAGAATTATCGGAGATATTGTATGATATACACACAAATAATTTAAGATTGTGTTTCACTAAGAAAAATTCTTAAAATTCAATTGTGGTAAAACCGGTTATTTTGACTTAAAAATTAAATCACTAAACTGATTTTGATAAAGTTTTGAACGAGCGAATCTGTAAGTATATCATTTCAGATTGGAAAAAAAGAATTTTGCAATTCGGTTTATAATTGTCCGGAGTTACACAACGATATAGTATGCCTAACAAATATATTTAAAAAAAAATCCAACTGAATTTAGAAACTCTTTCTTTTCGAAGTCGGATGCAAATTAAAATCTTTTTGTGTAATTCTTCAATTTTGAAGTCTTAAAAGGATATCACTCACCACCATGGACACCACAATAGTCTCCCACGCAGTCAGCGTGCTGGACATGTTGACCAGAGCACGGAGTGTCTCCAGTGCAGGACCTTCGCCTACTCTGTCTACAGTCGGCTCCGCAGACGGACCACTCCGTCCAGGTGCCCCAGCGGCCAGGCAATGCTGTAAAGGATACATGATGTTAGTATTCTGGAAATTATGCTGATTAATTATAAAGTTAATGGAGTCAGCATCAACATCATTATTAACTTGTTGTGTCGGTTTGAAGGGTGGGATATGACGTGAACTTACTGGGTACAGAGGAATAACACCCGAGTCCTCAGGAATGGCAACGCATGGGGGGTATCATGGGCGAAACTGTTTACTCTGTTATGTCCACGGTACTGCTCATGTCTATAGGCGACGGTTACCACTTTACATCAGGTGGGCCGTCAGCTTGTTTGCCATTCTAAGTTGTATATATAAAAAAAAATTATATTAGTCGTTAACTGTCCATTGCTGAATGCAAGCATTCTCCATAAGGGGGAGTTTGCCAGTATTTGCAATGCTTGGAAGGCGGGTTGGCAACCGCAGTTAGGTTTTTGGTGAAATTTTAATGCGAAACAGTTAACTCTGGTATGTCCATGACACTGCTCATGTCTGTAGACGACGGTTACTATTTTCCATCAGGTGGGCCGTCAGCTTGTTTGCCATTCTAAGTTGTATAAAAAAAATTAGAACGCAGTCAGATCGGTCAACGACCTCCCTAATAGCATGGTTAGTTGGCAAGTATAAAAAGTGCACGTATTATTACTACTTCGCATAACTGAGTTAAAAAAGTCGCGGATTCGATTCTGATGGGTTCAATTTATGAACTTTTTATAGGTGTTTATAGTCAAAGAGCTGAAATGAAATTTTAGTAATATAGTTGTTTATCAGTTTGTGTGTCTGTCATACAACCGACTTCAAAACAAAGGAGTTCTCAATTCGATTGTATTTTATTTTTAACGTTTATTGCCTCATAGCTCCATCAGTTGTAAATATATTTAAAAGAAATTTATCTACACTCGCGAGCAACCAAATCGACTCAACCCTTGACGGTGCACATATGCATTGATTTTACTAAAACGACAAATGTCAATTATAATAATGATATGTCATTCGAAAGCTGAAGAATTATGCTGTCATTTAACATCAATACTCTAAAAAAAATTTAAGCGCTGATTTAATGACGCATTTTAATTGGGCGTCAGGGAAAATTTGTCTACAATAGAATAGAAGAGAAATAAAAGAAAGAAAAATAGTCGACAATAGAACTTCCTTTTTCAAAGTCGGTTAGAATTTAGCCAAACTGGATATATCTAGTACATACCAGATTGAACACTAAACAGAACGAATAAAACCATCCACGTATATTTCTCACAGTAAAACTAAGCATTAGCCACAGTTACTGCCCAAGACGCTAACAGTCGGCGAGTTTGAAGGTACCGTCCTATAAATTGAAATTAAAATACATCTGAGAGATGGCCGTAACTGCCCTTACATGCGAGACGGGCGTAAATCACAAGGGTTTTTTTTTTATTTCACAAAGAAATAATAGAGAGTCGGTGTTCATATGTAGTATGGAATGGGCCAAAGGAGAGACGTAAGCGATGTAAATTTTATTCATTCATACAACTTTACATAAATAATACACACTTTTACATTAATTATTGCTGAACTTCCAGTGAGGCGACGTTTCAAATAAGTATTTCCACAGATTTTATTTTTATATTTTTTTTTCTATTTAACTTACCGTCCAAAAATAAGCGTAATTTTATCTGGTATATAAATTGGGAATCTGTTATTGGCTAATGTATGGTGGAAATATAATATTTTTTAATTATTCTAGATATAAGTTGTTGATTCAAGATCTAATATTACAATAAAAAAAAAATATTGCATAGGAAGTGTAACTTTTTATTGTTTAATTTTTTTATTTACAGTATAACAATTTATTGTTGTTCAAATAAATAATTACTGTTTACTGTTTTCATATATTAATAAGATTAAATATCTTATTAATATTATGAATATGAAAATAACGTTTTTTGTGTGTTTATTCGTTTATTAACATTTGGCGTATTAACCATGCAACTAATAATTTTAAATTTTATTCTACATCTAGTATTTGATATGACATGTATTTCGATTAATTGATATATCTTTCAAATGCAGATAAATCACGGGCACAATTAATATATAATAATAAGATATTTGTAATAAAAAATATTTATTTTTATTAAAATTTATATTTATTTAATTTGTATATATAAATTAGCATAATTTTCTTTCAAATATTAATTAATTTCTAAAAAGTTTCAATAAATATGTATATCTATTTAGTTCAAAACTACATTGGTAAAAACACTAAAACTTTAAATGTCATTAACACGGAAGTGTAAATCAGTAAATTTGTCATATATTTGAAGTATCCGCTATATCTTATGCCTTGCACCCTACAACTCCTCTCTCCGACCACGTGTGGGTGTATACGCATATTAAACTACAAAAGTGTGTAACATTTCTTATTAATTAATGCGCGCACACATAAATCAGTCGAGGTTCGTTAGCAAGGAACAACGATGTAAAGGATTTTCATATGTATGGGTATATTTTACTAAAGGTGTACTCATAATATTACTGTTTATTTTCATTCAAAATTTTCTAATATTCGTCTATTTATTGTTAAAAGTTTAATAAATATATTACGGTTTAACTTCTGTGTATAATATTAGAGAGAGACTTTGTACAAAAGTCGTTTGCTTCGGCACCTCTGTCCCATTTGTGTTTCTACCGTGAAGCAGTTGTGTTTGCATGGCTGTGTTTCGGTTTGAAGGGTGGGATGTGGCAGTGAATTTACAGGGTACAGAGTAATAACACCTAAGTTCTCAGGAATGACAATGCATGGGGTATCCTGAGCGAAACAGTATACTCTGTTATGTTCATAGTACTGCTTATATAGACATTGGCGACGGTTACCACTTTCCATCAGCTGGACCGTCAGCTTGTTAGTCATTCTAATTAGTATAAAAAAATAATGTAATTTAGTCGAGAAAACTCGACTAGTTTCGAGAGTATCCGGGACCCTTAATTAAAGTTGTTACATTAAAATACTGATTTAGTATTGTAATATTTTTACTCCCTTTTTTCTTTTTCTTACTTTTTTTTATATGCTTCATATTTTTAGACACATTACTGTATATGTAGATATAATGTATATGTATGTTAAAAATTATCCATATAGATTAAAAATGTTTATTTTAAAAGAACCAAATTTTTTACTTCAAAATATTTTTTTATCGACTTAATTGATAAACTAATGCATTTTTTTAACTAAAAAACAAAAGCTATGTGAATGTATCTTTACTTCAAAACAACTTAATGGAGGATAAGAAATAAATTACATGTAATTGCAAGCTACTGTCACGTGACTGTGACAAACAGATTTTTTTGGAATACATCGTTCGAGAACGTGAACGTACGTAGACATTTTTAAATTATTGTGAAACCAAAACGAAAGTAAAAATATTTATGTACTGTAAAAAGTGTCATTAAAATCGTCTTAATAGCCAAGATATCGCACTATAATTATAATAGAAAGTACAAATAAATCGATAATTTTTTTTATTACTTGTTTCCCATGGATTTGCTCGAGTAAATCCAATTAATATTATAAATATGAAAATTTGTTACATTTGATGGATGGATGTCAATCCTTCATATAAAAATTACTAAATGAATTTGAGTAAAATTTAGTAAACGGGCAGATCAAATCCTAACTCTGCACTTAGGATACGTTATGTAGTTATCGATTCATGCAAATCGAGCCGCAGGATCGAGCTAGTCAATACGTAAACTATGCTATGTATTAAGTCAGGATTATATATATATGATATTGTCACGATTGATCAATCGTCTTTATGTATCCATGTCTTTATGGATATGTATGTATGTTGTATTTCCATATGTATGTTATGTATGTTTAGTGTGTACAATAAAGTACGCATAAATAAATAATTTTTCCGTTTGATTCTGGCATAGAATGGACCATTTTCCACTTCCGTGGGTGTCGTAAGAGGCGATTAAAGAAACTTAATTGTACAGGCAGCAGGATCCTTTTGAAATATCATCAAAGCCTAAATGCGGTTGTCAATTTGCCTGCTAAACGTGGCAACTACTGGCAATACCCTGTTTTTGAAGGAATCAGTTCAGCAGTGGTTAGTGGACGGCTGATATGAATGAAATATGAAAAATTAATAAATACTAATACTATTGTTTTTACCAATTATTTTAAAACAAGATTACAACGTAAGTTAATTAGAGCTTCAAATATAATTAAATTATGCCACTTCTTTGTAAGCGTGATGTTATATTTTACCTTGTTATAAAAGTTCTCCAGTTGTTTTAGGAAGGAAAATCTGCTTAGGACGTCTGTGGGTGGAATTTATAGTCACCTTTACCTCCGCGGTGGAGACAGCCAGGTCATAAGGTCAAGTGACAGGAATAATAAAGATTCATATACCACATTAGTGGTTGAAAGCCTATTTCCGTATTCTTCCGGCATTTGAATAAGTAATAGTAAGTAATGGCAACGCATTGGGGGTTACATGAGCGAATCAGTATACTCTGTTATGTCCATGGTACTGCTCATGTCTATAGGTGACGCTTACCACTTTCCATCGGGTGGGCCGTCAGCATATCTCTTTCAAGAATCCCATGGTGTAGTCTCTTGGGTAAACCTCTTGAAAATAGAGCTATTTGAGAATTTTTTGAGAATCTGCTTAGTTTTTTTTTATACAACTTAGAATGGCAAACAAGCTGACGGCCCACCTGATGGAAAGTGGTAACCGTCGCCTATAGACATGAACAGTACCATGGACGTAACATAGTATACTGTTTCGCTCATGACACCCCCCATGCGTTGCCATTCCTGAGGACTCAGGTGTTATTCCTCTATACCCTGTAAATTCACGCCATATCCCATCCTTCAAATCAAAACACAGCCATGCAAACACAACTGCTTCACGGTAGAAACACGAATAGGACAGAGGTACCTAAGCAATCGACTTTTGTACAAAGTCTCCCTCTGGTAATTAGTAGTCTGGTAATTGGTAGTTTAACATTGTTTTACCAAATTTTTTTAATTTTAAAAATAAATATTTTAATATATTAAACATTTTAAAATGTTCTAGTCATTTTGTTTATTTCAATGTAAAAGTAGAAAAATAATGGTGCTGGCTGAACTAACTAAAAGTTCACCGCAAGCAGCCGACATATGTTTCTAATTAGCCCAACAATCCCAGTTTAAGCTTAAAACAACCTCTTGATTGCATTTTATTGTCTACCCGGTTGGTCTAGTTTATTATTGTGGACGATACACACAGATGCCAAGTTCATCGTACTTATTATAAAAAGGAATTATATGATTGCTTGTTTGTAATGGAAAAACTCGAAAATTATTCAATCGAATTTAATATTGCTTTTAGCTGTTGAAAGCTACATGATATATAGACTTTATATTATTTTCAAAAATTATATCTTCCCAGTTGGAAATAAATCTTTTTTTTTTTATGCAACTTAGAATGGCAAACAAGCTGACGGCCCACCTGATGGAAAGTGGTAACCGTCGCCTACAGAAATGACCAGTACCATGGACATAACAGAGTATACCGTTTCGCCCATGATACCACTCATGCGTTGCACCTGAGGACTCAGATGTTATTCCTCTGTACCCTGTAAATTCACTGCCATATGCCACCCTTCAAATTGAAACACAGCCATGCAAGCACAACTGCTTTACGATAGAAACACGAATGGGACAGAGGCGCTAAAGCAAACTACTTTTGTACAAAGTCTCCCTCTGGTAAAATGTACAAACTATTATGTATAATAGTGCAAAATTATATATATATATTAATATAATTATAATAAATTATTAAAACTAGCTAACTCGACAAATGTCGATATGTCCAAACCTATTGGACTGCGGTGGCCCATCTATAAAGGAACAATTTGTACGGAGACAAGAAAAATTGGGTATTTACACTTTCATTTGAAAACAGGTCTTACCATTCTCGAGTTTTACGCTTAGCAACACATTTTGTGATATATTTTGATATATATAAAAATAGATAAATAAATGTAATTAAACGCCATTATGTGCGGTTATTCTTATTGAATCATTAAGACCATAGTTTTACGGTTGCTTTTATTTCAGCACTGAATTCTGAATGGAAATTGTGTCTTCATTGGAAAATTGTTAGCGATTAATGGCTAAGATCGATCCTTAGCAGAGCATGAGGGAATACTACTACGTTATACACTGTTATACTAATACATTTATACATTTTATAAATTTTTTTTTAATTCATAATGTATGTAACTTTTTGTTGTTGTCAATAAATGTTTTCTTTCTTTCTTTATTTAAATTGCCAAAGTAGGGAATACTCAGCATAGTAATCTACAAACTTAACCGTAGTGCTAAATTTTGTGCAACTTACATAGTGGAATGAAAATGTCTTTTACAATCTAAAGTTTCAAGTATATGTTATTCATTTATTTATACTTTATTATACACAAAGATTACATTGTTTTATATTACTTTGAATAAAGATGTACAACAGGCGAGCTTAACTCTGTTAGAGTTCTCTTCCTGTAAACCCTGACTAGCATTAATTAAATTGAATTAAAAATGTTTTCACAAGTTTATTTAAGTACTCACAAAAGAAACTGTTTCTACAAAAACAAATCCGTAAACATTACACTTATTTAGCATTATACAATTCTAATATATTAACATAACAAAGAGCATGTTACTGTCAAACCTTCACAGTCATTTTTATGTAAATTTTGTATTAGTCATGCACTGATGACTCTGTATAGAACATCAGATAAAATTACTTCAAATAATTCTACTAGGAACACATTACGAAAATATCTAATAAATTTAATCTCACTCAGTAACTAACAATTAAAAATTAATTGTTAATGTTTACTTAGTAAGTTGTTTATTTTAATATATATATATATATATATATATATATATATATATATATATATATATATATATATATATATATATATATATATATATATATATAAAAGTTAGTTTATATAAATTTTTTTTACAGAACAGGATTCAATTTGGATGGTGAATGTTATGGAAAAAGTGGATGAAAATGTGGACTAGTATTCATACCAGTAACATCCACTTAGAATATGCATGTGTGTCTGTATGTATATGTATGTGTATATATATGCATATCTATGTATATGTATATATAAAGATATAAGTTTAGTATATAGAAGTTTATAATTGTTTAAAAAGCTGTATGTACAAGAGCGCAAAGCTGCACACAAACTGCAATGCAGTCTCGCGGCACTAAGAATATATACTGTCTATGTAACTGTTTACTTGAAATAAATAAATAAATAAAATAGATGAGATTCAGTGACGTAAGCATTATGCTCATCTGGGAGAAGATTTTCGGATGTATACAATGAAACGCCAAACAAAATTTTATCAAGTGTTTATTAAATTTGCTTTATGTAATTATTTACAAATATCGTTTGATCCTGACATAGAATAAACCACACTTTTCTTACCTGTAAATGTTGTAAGAGGCGAATAAGAGAAATTAAATAGGGGAGGGATGAGCGTTCAGTGTTCCTTTTAAAACATTACCGAAGTCTAACTGGCGTTGCCAACCAGCCTGCCAAGCGTGGAAACTACTGGCAAAACCCCCCTTATGGGGAAGGCTTCTGTTCAGCAGTGGACAATTAATGATTGATATAATAATAAAAAATAATATGTCTTTTCGTATCTTTCGAATTTGTCCACGATCATACTTTTTTTTTTTTTGATGGGTGAAAATGGTATGGTAACCCCGCCTGCTCTAACGGGATACGCTGGCGGAGCACCAGTGAAGGGTGATAGATGAGAATGAAAACAGGCCAGTTAGCCCATCATGATGAATTCATCAGGAATTAACCATGATAGTTTCCAGGGGGAACCGTGAGGAAGTCGATCTGGTTGGATATATTGTTAGCAATGGGATTCTCAGTCTCCATTACTAACAATCCCTTCCCCCCCCCCCCGATTACACTTTTAGGGTATTATATATCTATATATATAAGCAAGCATTCAGTTCCATCGAACCGTCACTAACCAGTGTCTACGCGACGCAAATTTCCACACTGCTGCAATGTTTTCAAAAGACGCAAACTTCGGTTGAACTTTGAAAGTTCGCTCAACATATTTCCCTAACATCTGCGCGCCATCAGAACGACACTAAAGTTAGTTGTCCAACACTTGCTTGTTATTACTGTCGCCATGAAACACTTAACCCTTTGATGTGAACGCAGTACTCGCTTTATGTCCATACAGAATTAAACAGCGGCATTTTAATAGTTCTTATGGAAACGCATTCGAATAGTTACGTTTTAGGGCACGTGTCCTTTATTGTATTATTAATTTCAATTCTTTATGGCCGTGTGTGACAACGCTATGGTTTGATAGCGGTTCTCTTGTTTTATTACATATATTTCTATGAAGCTGTCCCTGTAATAATTGTGACGGGAATTTTAATGTACTGTCCTGTCTATTATTAAATAAATCTATAGATAGATGATAAAACTGAGTAAGTATAAAGGTACTGATAATAAATTATTTGGTTTGCATTTTTATTATTATTATTATTTCAACCGTTAACTATCTATTGCTGAACATAAGATTTCCCCATAAGGGGAGTTTTACCAGTAGTTGCCACGTTTGGCAGGCGGATTGGCAACTGCAGTTAGTCTTTCTGAAACATTTTAAGAGGGACGCTGCTGCCCATCCCTTAATCATAAGCTCCTTTAGTCGCCTCTTACGACACCAACGAGAAAGGTAGGGATAGTCCATTCTATACCGGGATCGACAAGATGAACGGTTTGCCATTTATGTACTCTATTTCTTCTTACTTATAGAGCTGAGTAACACGCAGCAATATCTATATACTTGTTTATTTACTTTAAATATTACTGTAGATAGATAAATGTATTGCACCAAATTTTTTTATGATATCACTAAGCCATATTTATTTGCCAAGAATATGTAGATAGATAGATACTCTTTATTGTTTTCCCCAAAAGATTACAGTAGCAGACTTATTATAAATAGACATAAACGATTTGTCATAAAAACTAGAGAAATATACTAGTGTTCTTCAGAAGATCTTAGATTAAAAGAATTGGCGGAATATAGGAAGTCAAACTGCTCCTTCAGGAGTGACCTGACTTTCCCTCGCGAGAGGAAGAGGAGTTAAAAAGGATATTGTGGAGTAGTAAAATAATGTGAGTATTCCAGCGAAAACGAATAGAGAAATGATAGATAGACCTTTAAATTTATATATACGGTTTGTATATAAAAGTTAAACATACATACATATCTATCACCCTTCCATTAGGGTAGGCAGAAACAATAGAACGCCAAATGCTTCGATTCAAACACTTCGGTTACGGGTACTTTTAATTTGGCCCTTCTTCAGCACGTCGCCTATTTGGTCCACATATGTCTTCTACTAACATCTCCATTCATTCTTGCTCGATAAATCACTTTCGTTATTCTTCTTTCATCCATCCTCTCCAAATGACCAAACCAACGCAACATTCCTTTTTCGATTTTGTCACTACATCGTCTTTCAGTCCACACTGTGTCTAGTAAGAAACAGCGTGATAAATATTAAACTTACCGATTAATTGTTGTGTGTTATCCAAATATCCTTCTTCATGGAAAGCCAAGGAAAATATAATTGCTTAATTAATATTTTCATTATAACAAGATAGATAGATAAACTTTTTATTTGAGCTATTTATGACACACGTAAATTTACAAATGAGTTTATATTAAGATGTATTAAGGGAGTATGTTTTAAATCATTAATGCTAATAAATAATTGTTATTTATTAACTATTTAAAAACAATATTTTTTTTAGATTCACGAAAAATACAATAAAAGAAAAAATAATTACGCCAATTATTATTGTTAGAAGAATTTGAAATTGTTCCATAGATTTTCCATAGATTAATCTTTAATTTAAAACAGAGGTTGGAAGGCATTGAGGGAGGCATATATCCACAAATAGAACGAAATAGTCCAGGTGGAGGCCCAGAGGCCGGTATTTTTTTAATGGATAAAAATGGAATGGTAACTCGTCTACGCTATCGGTATATCAGTGAAGGATGATAGCTGAAAATAAAAACAGATTAGCTAGCTTGTCATGACGAATTAAAAAAAAAACAACGGTTTTAGCAGGAAACGCGTGGAAGTCGACCTGATAGGATACATTACCAGCAATGGGATTTTAAGACCCCATTAGAAACAATATCTTTCTCCTTAGAAGCCCGTTTGAGTTATATCAGCCTTTAAAGTCTGTAAGCTGAAGTGGTAAACTGGTTACTCCTGTCGAGTAAGGGACAATAGATGGGGATGAAAACTGCTGAAATTAAGTTTGCCTATAGAAAAGCGCTTCATGGACCAACCATCCTCTAAATGGACTGACGATCTCCACAAAACAGCGGGGAAAAAATGGATGCAGAAGCAGAAGATCGCATTGAGAGCAGCCTATATCCAGAAATGGTTCAGAATAAGCTGATAATGTTTGATGGGCTTACCGCTCTGACAAGCAACACAGTTGGACGTCCGCTGGACTGACTGTCCCTGGCACTGCGCGCCGCCGTTCAGCGGGTAGGGTTCAGTGCAAGTGCGCGTGCGCCGCTGGCCCTCAGTCACGCGGCCGTTGCAGCGGCACTGGCTCCATGGACTCCACGGACTCCAGCCACCATTCACTGTAATAGAAAAGCTACTTAATTAATATGTCCTTGTGGCATTATTTCGTGTGATACTAAGTAAATGGTATCATAATTATTTCAGTTGTGAATTCTTCATTGCCGAATTCAGGTTTTTAAGATTATTATAAGGAATGGTCCTGTGGCCACCTGCACGCAATCTGTTTGGTGTCGTCTCTTTATCTAATAAAAGGGGTGAGGGAGGGGATCCTACATAGTGTTTAATGCAGTCGCTACTTCAGAATTTTTGATATACTATCTATATACTATGTCTATGTTTATACTCATACTATTATTATAAACTAGTTGTGTCCCGGAGCTCTACCTGTGTGAATTAGTACATAAAGTATTCTATGTTTAGTACATAGGATAGTAAGTAGTTTAGTAAGGATATAACATACTCGTGTACCAGATTTAATTTAAATTAATAAAATTTAATAACTGGCATTGCAAGGAGTCAGTGGATGCAGATGATTCAAGTCCGTTCCTTATGGCAGTCTATAGGGGGAGGTCTATATCTAGCAATGGACGGGTAGTCGCTGTAAAGGTGATAATGATTATGAACTGACATCTTTCTATCCATTCATCCATCTATCCATGCATCCGTTCATCCATTATTAGAAACTTTCGCATTTATTATATTAACAGGATGTGAAAGCATGTCATGTAATTTGGCATACACGTACCATATGGGACGGAGAAAGATATGCTCAATCAATTAATGTATCTTGATGGATTGTTAGTAATGCAGATAACCTGTTCCATTGCTAACAATATATCAGGACCTTATCTTTCACGTGGTCCTTCTGGAAACCATCGTGCTGTATTACAGATGTACTCATTATGATGAGTCCCAAGGACGAAGTCGCGGCTAAAAACTAGTATGAATATAATTTTATTCTTTCGCAGCACCAATTGTAGTTTGTATGTCATATTATTTTAATTATAAAGTCTAATGAATCGACGCCCCACTATCAGGTGCAACGGAACATAGTTATTACATAAAAAATTAAACCAGGAACGATTCGAACACGCAAATGTTTCTGGGAATCGAGTATTATTTATCATTTACCGATAGAAATTTCGATTTTTTTTTTCTTTTATGTGTATTTGATTTTATATTTCCTAGTTTTTTGTTCGCTATTTTTGAATTTTGGACAAAGGAAAACCAATGAACCACTTCAAGATAGCGCATCAAAACATGATGATATTAGTCTTTAATTGTCCTCTACTGAACATAAGCTCCCCATAATATAAGGTTATTGAAGAGTTTTGCCAGTAATTGCCACGATTGGCAGGCGGGTAAGCAACCGCAATTAGGCTTTGGTGATGTTTTAAGTGCTGCTGCCCATCCCTTGAAAATTAGGTCTCTTTAGTCGCCTCTTATGAGACCCATAGGAAAGGAAGAGGTAGCCTATTCTATGCCGGGACCACCGTCGCAAAATATTTATACTTGATTAAAATCTATTAACATTTCAGTGGACTCTGCATATAGACATAGAAGGAATTAATTCTAGCAGTTTAAATACTGCACAATAATAGAGATAAAAATAATTTTTCATTTAAAAAGAAAACTGTTTTTATTACTTCATAATTTTTCTACGTACACTTTCTTATACAAAAATGAAAGTCTAATTGAGTACCTCCTTTACGATTATAACACTAACCTTCTTTATTTAGCAGTCGGATAAGAATAAATAGTACAAACTGCATGTGTATAATACATTAGAATCAAACTGTGTGAATTAGGACGATCGTATTTAGAAATCTACAGGCAGACCTGCGTGCTGCAGTCAGTATAGGTTATATCTTTACCCGGATCGCCTGCTTGTTAGGAATGCACGCAAAGTCGCGTGCAATACCTAGCATCTACAGTGTACCAGTACACACTAATAGGCTAGCCAGAATTTCGCTTTTCTATAATTTACCTCATTTACCATGTGGATATAGCGTGCGTAATAGAATGAATTCCGAGAAATAAGGTAGGTATTGTGTTTTAGGTATATAACAGTGCGAAGGTGTCTAATGATCTAGCTTTCATAAGTTTAAAACTATTTTTAAAATTTTATTAAAGTTGAATTAAAAAACACTTATTGAACAAAACCTATTACACACTAAACGATTAATTAAGTGACAAACGTGCATGGTGTTAGTCGATCATGCACGGATTTTTAACGACCATGTAATTTTAGACATAGTACATTTAAATAAATACGCATAATGTTAACAGAGATTGAAAAGAATAACTGTTAAGATTCTTGTGGGCTCTTCTCAACAGGTAACAACTTTCCGAATTTTGGACTAGATTAAAAAAAATAATGACGATTTAAAAGTGCTTGTAAACAAATATATTTGAATAAAGATGATTCGAAAGAAAGATTATATCGGTGTATGAATGAGAAGAAACATATTATGTCGGTTTTGGTTTTTGCAAATATTTTTATAAGTTACAAGAGATAGAACCTGGAATCTGTTTATTTATCTTTGCAATTTAAAAATGGAAGAGTGCAGATAGAGCCTGTGGATTAGTCCAGTCCATCGTCATCAAATAAACAGAGTTCTGTTTGAGGAAGACGTCACCAGAATCGTCATGTATACATAACAGTAAACGAAGGAAGAGCCTCTCAGTTCTCGCAACCAATTCGTAAGTCTTGGCATGAAGATCAATACATTTATATCATGCAATTTTATAACGGATTTAAATAAGTATTGAAAACTTACAGGTAGGTACTTTAATCGCCTGTATTACAGCTGTTGTTCCCTTAAATGGTGTCTAATGACGGGGCATTACATCAACATGGTGAAGGCATAAAGAAAGGAAATATGTACTTTGATAATGGAAAAATTAAATGGGTTCGACCCGGGTGTAATTTTGACTTTATATAATTATTTTTACATTACACCAACGATTTTACTTTTACCAGACCTGTAGTATTTTGATTTTGCAATAAAACAAAAAGAAATTAACGAAAGCAAAGAATAGCAAGAAACGCTAAAATGTTTAAGGTTTTTTTTGCAGTTAATTTATATAACTGCAAAAAAAAAAAACTTTTAACGTTAACTATAATATTTTGGACATCGGAAGGAAGCACTTACATAATACACAAGAATATTTTTTTTTAAATGTCATTGTTTTAAGAAGTTTTCAAGAGGTGTAGTGCGAAAAATATTCGGAGAACTGGAAAATATATCAAGTTCACAGTCTCATTGTTGTAGTTTCTATTATTGTAGTCTTACATGTTGCAAGAATATAAGACAACGATGCATTTTTTGCTAGGACGTTTACTGTTAAAGTTTGAAATACATATAATGTTAAATGTGGTACAATAAAACAGTATCATGTCTTTTTTTCTCCTATGTATCTTGTTTGAATGCATATTGTACCAATACTTTGTTTGAATAAATTATTTCTTTCTTTGTTTCAATAAGGATTTTTCCGAGATTTGTAAGCCATTTCTTTCTTATGTTTTGTTTCCTTGAAAGTATTTATCATATTTTCTTCATAATTTTGCTAAAATGTTACACAAATAACATTGTCTTCTTCTTTTCTTTCTAATCTTATTTATATAAATTACCCGTTAGTGGATCTTCAAAAAAATTATTAATAAACTACAAGAATCCGTAGCGGAATAGTGCGGTCCAAAAAATTTGTTGACAACAAAAAATCCTTGTGACACTTAATTAGTGTTGATTTTTTACGCTTCGCGTAGAACTAATGTGGGAGAGATTTCAAAAGAGACTCGGAAAGTCACGTATCTCCGAATTTTATCTCTCAGTTCAAAGTTAATTTTTTGTAGTTTCTAAGAATAGGCGATTAGTTACGCCTACATGTAGGTATCAAAAGCAATATGACATTCTGTTGTTATCAATGTTACAACGAACGGGTCTTATCTTACTTTCTTTATTTTTTCCAATACATGTGCGTTTATGTCACATAATTGTCTTTGTACTTATACAAACAATAAATTATTTTTATCAAAACAGATTCTTTAGACTGATCCAAGTTCGCAAATATATTTTAAATACTTGTGATGGTTGAGCTATTAAAGTAGTAATAAATAAACAACTTCACTTTCACATTTTATAATGTCAACAGGTGTATTATTATCATTATTCACATAATCTATTGTATCTCTTCATTCGTTTTCTTTCCTAATTTTTACATTTTCTGTTTTGTCAACTAAATTTACTTATAAAAAATATATATGTTTAACATTATTAGTTCATATGACATAATGAACATGTTATATCATGACAAATAATTATCACCTTTAAAAAATAAACCTGTTACGAGTATTTGTATCTTCCTATTTAAATTTTTCAATTTTATTTTCAATTATATTGTTAATTTATAAAACGATACACTTTTCAATTAATAATCACCATAAAAGACACGAAAAGTGTATATATATCTTTGTATAACACCATTAACATGCAACAAAGTATTTATTCATTCAAAAACAATTAAATCTTTATTTAATGCAAAATAATTCTTCCCTACTCCACTGAAGAGGGAATTCAATGTAAATCAGACCACCCGTGGTTCATTCGGTGTTTCTTTCTCAATAAAAATTGATTGCCCCATTAGAGCTGCGTATGTTATTAACCTATTAAAGCACTGTTAATATTAATAAAGTGCTTCCATATGGCTATAGAAAATTTACCATCGGAATTTCGATTGGGGAAAATTAGTTTCATAGTATCGACAATGCGTTCGCCGATTTAGGAGTGGCTTTGTCCGAGTTTAAATAATCTTGAGCAGGAATTACTAGTTATCGTTTATCTTGTTTTGCTAGTTTATATAACGAACTGAACAATAAACTAGTTGTATTATTATAAATCTGAAATGAATCTCTTTGTTTGTTATATTTCAATGAACTAATTTAGTTGGTATTTGGCAAACTTCAGTTAAATTACTCAATAGCTACTCATAATATGCTCGTATTGCTGTTCATATTTTAATAAACTATGTATTAGTTAGGAATTACAGCCTAATATGTCCGTGTAACTGCCTCTTCTCAAGAATACTAATCTACAAAAACCTTTTAATTTACTTTTCGTATTTAGTTATAAAATTTGATTACAGATAAAATAAAAGACACTACACATTTTATAAGTGTTTTAGTAGTTGAAAAACTAAGTTTTAATATTAAGTAATAGTGACATTGATTAACCACCCACAAACGTGAAATTAAAAGAAAAAGCTTTCAATCTGAGAGTTATAAAACTTAGAGTAATGGTAATACGAGACGTCTCGCTATACGACAATAAACACGAGATCATCACATAATTGTGCGAGGTAATAAAAAATATTGTGAAGACATACGCCCACCCGAGTTCCATTCACGACTTGATAACGACGATATATTACCCAATTTGCAAGTAAGTGCCACAATTTCTATAGCACATGCACAAAGGGCTTTAAACCCTTCATAAACTGAATTGGTCGCGGTTTATAGTGGGAACTATTGAGCTTATAGTTTAGTAAATTGTGCAAGTTATACGTCAATTATTATTTACTGGCTGACTAATGGATAGGAACGAAAAAGTATGGATTAACTACGAGAAGAGATTCTATTACATACAGTTTTTATATGTATATAAAAACTGAACATTGATAAATGTTAGACAAAGACAGTAGATAAAGTTTAAATTTATATTATCTTGAAATAGTACACAGTGATTAAAATGAGGATTCCTGTATATACTCTTATCTATACTATTACAAGATAATAAAATATAAATGTATTAATAAAATTTATTTTAGTCCTTAAATTGAAAAAAATAACCATGCTACAATAAAGTCTTCTAATCAATCTACAGCTCGCAACTCTTTTAAAGCGACGGACGTACATATAATAAAAATTATGATGATATTAAAATTAAAGATAACGATGCAACAGTTAATGTTAATGATACGAAACAACCTACAGAATTTGGACGTGTTAAGTCAGAGGTGCTGATTGCAATCAGTTAGGCGCCATGATGCAGGCGTGGGCGAGCGGCCCTTAATGACTCTCCCAGCGTTCGGGCATTGTAATAATTGCAAGCCATCGGCACATGCCCTTTGATCTTGTAGTAAAGATAGTTATTACGTATAAGTGAGGGTGAAATGAGCGTTAAACAGCGCGGTTTCTTGTCTGATAAATTGCACGTGAAATAATGATATGCGGAATTGTGGTGTAATAAACATTGCCTATTATTAAAACATGTAGTTGTAACATTTTCTATGAATATCAATGTGTAGGATGACCAATTTAGGAAACGTATCTTTCGAAAATGGCTCCAGTCTAGGCGTTCTGAATTTTGCTTCCAGATGTTCGTTCGTTAGTGATAGGTTTCCTAGCTTAAGGACTAAATAATTGGTGTGATTTTGTATTTATAACTATTTATAGAAGCATTGATTTATATAATCTCAGTAATTGAATTTTTTAATTATTTTAATATTATGGTTTTATCATTGTTATAAATATTACTTTTTGTTCAAATACAATGAAGACTTAAAACCAAAATGAACTTACCGTAAACAGTCACTAGTGCCGGTTCCGAGATTCTTTTCCCAGCAATATTCTCAGCGACGCAGCTGTAGTTTGCCATATCCTGTTAACAATATAAATTTCATGTAAAATTTTATTATATGCTGAATAATTATTTATATGGAATATGGTATATTCGGCGTCGTGTAATATAAAACAGGCCACCTCTTCCTTTCCCGTGGATATAGAAAGAGGTGACTAAAGGAACTTCAAGATCTAGGGTTGGGCAGCAGCGTATCTCTTTAAACATCACCAAAGCCCAGCTGCGGTTGCTAATCCGACTGCCAAGCGTGGCAACTACTGCAAAACTCCCAATAAGGGGAGGCCAATGTTCAGTGGATAATTAACAGCTGAAATGATGATACGATTATGGTTATATTTGAGTAATAACCATTCGTTTTCTTTTTATGCTTTGTGAATATTTAATATTACATGATGTTCCTATATAGAACTACAACAAAGAAACATGACCAAGATTCACCTTTAATTCTGTTCACAATGTAATAATTTAATTTCCCGACTCTCATGCTCTGTATGACATATTGCTCTTTTGATCTCCAAATAGTGTTTCTAATTTCGTATACCGTTTAGTCACTCACAATTTTGGGATTGTAATAAATAAGATACGTTCTTTGTGATGCTAACAAGACATTTCCTTTTTAAATTCAGTTCGCTAAAATTTAAATTATACATCTTAGAAATTAGTGTACATGTGAAATGTAGAATTGTCTCTTTTAAAATAACAAAGGACATACCCATTAATTCAAATGGCGACAGCAACACATATTATGTTTATATTAATTAAGAAGAAGCTTCTGTCACCTTTGCGAATAGGGGTAATGTTACACACAGTCTACCACAATGAGAGAGCGAGTGACAGTGTCTACAATTAATCCACGTCTGCTCGCACTGCCTAATTAGCGAGATACTGCTTTCAGGAAACCAGAGATGGAGTGAATTATTCGCGATTGTATATAAAGATGTTCTCTCACTAGATGTAAAATTTAAAGTTTTCGTTCATTCAAGAATTTTATATAATGAAGCCATTTTATTTTCAAAATTTTAGAATCAATTTGAAATGAAAAATTTTCAACAATAAGCAAGAATATTTCTGTTCAGCATTATACTTATTAATATTTTATCAATTTTTAGGAATTCTATTAATTTTTTTTTGCATTTCAAAATTTATTTGAAGGTAGTATAAAATTGATCATATTTTTACAATTGATAAAAACTTCTCTGCTCGCCCTTCCAGTTTTTAACATTTCATCAATTTTAACGAGACGGTATTAAAACATTAAAATGTTTTAATAACGTTTAAATTATATATATGTATTTTATTTTATTTTTATTTTTATTATGAAACAAATAACAAATTTTAAATTTGAGAATTCTCCAAAGATGCAGAACAAATGAAATTTGAAAAATGACAAATTCTCGAGACATACAAAACAAAGTACACTTGTGAAATATCGGATTGCATTAACCTACACTTTTGCAGTTTTGTCACTGTTCCGTCTTTGCCTTTGAAAGCGTACACCGCATCGCGACAAAAAGACAACAAACACGCGGAGCGACAGCAACGCGTGTCGCAATTAATAAACGTCCGACGCGCACGACTAATTAGTCGCAGTCGCATCGGGATGAAACAAGTAATTCATGATTCTACGATTGATCGTGCTAATATTTTGCAACAACAACGGTCATGAGCAATTTTAATGATCTATAAATTAAATGGTATATTATCAAATTTTGATGTCTATTGATATTATTAGAGAAACAGTTATTCTCGTATACTAGCTTTTACCAGCCACTTTGTCCGTGTGACTTATGTGAAATATTTATTGATTGAGATAAGAAATAGCCTATATCTTTCTCTATCCCATATCGTTCGTGTATACCAAATTTTACAGTGATTGGTTAAGCCATTAAGGCGCTATAAGTTAATAAACAAGCAAACTCAATTTCACCTTTATAATATCAGTAAAAAAAAATTACCTACACCCTAAGTCTAGGAAGGCAGAGAGAACCCAGTGTCAAAGGTCTCTAGCCTTTATCTTGTGCTTTATTCATTTTTATAGATAATACTCGTAATAATAGTTAGACATTATTTCTTAAATCCTTACTATCTTTACAAGTATTATGAAATGTGAAAGTGAGTTTGTTTATTTCTTTGTTATCTCTCAGCAATTTAACGACTTTAGTTATGACTACGAAATTTTTATTTATACCACATAGGCTACTTTTGTCTCGGTCAATGATCATATCCCGGTCATGTGGACGGATTTGCGGATTAAAGCTAATAACAAATTTAAATCTACTTGTCAAACAAGATCATGGAAAATCTAAAAGTTTTGGTTGGGATTTAATATCAAAAACCTCGAAGCGCAGCCAAAAATTCTCCGGCTGTCCTAAACATTCTAGATTCAGTAACAAAAAACACGTATCCATTATTCTAATTAACTTTAAATCTCTAATAAGCCAGAACACAAATATTGCGGTTGTTTCATACAAATGGAATAAAAAATACAAAACACTAAAAAAAAAACAAATACCACCTCGTTTGTTTCCTTCCCTTTCTAATGATGTTAATAAAAAAAGGATAATTCTATCTAGCCTCCAGGAACACGCTGCGAGTTTGCATGTGTCATGTTACGAACAGACCACATCACCATATGTTGATGTGACTCATTCCAAGAAATATTCGTTGTTACTTTTATAACATCTGCACCGTTAAATTTTGAACTTTCAGTATATCTTTTATAAGACATAAAATTAATTGTACGGGTAGTGAAATATTTGTAAATTTTTTAGGACATCCAAAGACTGGTACTAACTAACATGTCTAATTTATGAACGCTTTAAAATATAATTTATTACATAACAAACATCTGTTTCAGTATTCTGAATGTCTTCTTTGTTTACATTTGCGGTTGATAAAGATACATTCTTATAATTATAATCACTGTTTAATTGATCATTAAAATTGGGATAACAAGGATCACGTGTGATATTTAAAGCCTATTTAACTAACACAAACTAATATATCTTTAATTTTTTTAATGAGCCGGCATAATGCTGACAACCGTTGAGAGTGCATGGAACGTACTCTTTTCGATTCATCGTATATATGGACTATGTCGTCTTTGTTTTCGTTCAGGATGGTGTGGTCACATCATCATCATCTTCATATCAGCAGTTAACTATCCACTGCTGAATATAGGCTTCCTTCTATTGGGGGTTTTGCTAGTAGTTGCCATGCTTGGGAGGTGGGTTGACAACCGCAGTTAGGTTTTGATGATATTTTAAGAGGAACACTTCTGCTCATCTCTCAATCAATATGTTCCTTTAGTCGCCTCTTACGACACCCACGGGAAAGGAATGAGTAGCTTATTTTATGTCAGCGAGTAACATAGGCTATAAACTATTTTCGGGAATTCTATCTACCTATTAGAAACCGGGCTGGATTGCTACTTTATTTATATTCTGATTACTGTTTAAATTAATAGAGAGATATATATCACAGTTGTCAACTATACCAAGCCGTAAGGCCAGCATAATTTTACCAGATTAAACATCATCTTAAAGACGAGATCTGTTCTGAATATTTAAATCAATTATTACGATGTTAACGTTGATTTTAATAATGAACTTACTTGCAGACTAGCCCGTGATATCAGTAAGTTTCCTTCTGGCGATATCAATACATTGTGATCCTGTTGCAACGGAGCTCCTTGCTTCAGCCAGGATATACGTGGCGCTGGTGCCGCAGCAGGTGGTGTGCAGCGAAGTGATGCTGGTGATCCTACTTCCACAGAAATAGAGGAAGGCGATGCCGAAAACTGCTTCTTGAGATCTGAAGACAAAAGAAAATTGTAAATAACTTCGAAGTTCAACAAATAATTATTATTTGTAATTTTAACTTCAAGAAGGACTAAATTAACTAATGAGATCCCGTCTTCAGTTTCCATTTACAATATAATATGGGGCATTTCAAAAAACGTGCTTACAAACATTTAAAAGGCTAACAAGGCACAAATAACTTCTCTTGTGTTGTGGTAATTATGGGCGACGGTAACCGCTTTCCATTAGGTGGACCGTCTGTTCTTTTGCTTCCCTAGCCTTACAAAGAACATATGCGTGAGAAAGCCATGGTTTCGGAAATCATCGTGTATGCACGAATCATGAGAAGATATAATGAATTAGATATATATCAGGATAGAAGTATTCGGTACTTGATTCTCTCTACTTATCCCGCAAAGGGTTTGGAGTGAATATAAAAAAAGAACTCACAATATGTGGGAAATATAACACTAGTCATATCTACATTTCTATCACTCTGTCAATCAGTACAATTTGGTTTGTTACAAATGTTTTTCATCAGGAAACTTTATTTGGTGTCTAGATTCGAACGTACAACCTTTGAGGTCTGCATGTCAATACTACGACGCATGAAAAAGTTAAGTCACATACACTAATATACTATGTATAATATAATTTATCGTGATTCCAGAAATACATAAAATGAAGATGAAGTAACCGTATCTCTTAAGCTCGGGTATTATCAAGGACGAAGCCATGTCACTGTCTCCAAGGGTTATAACTACGCGAGTCTAATTTGATGCCGCGATCCTATTACGTGAGACGCAGTTTGTAATATATTTTGATAGGTATTAGCTATGCCCGCGGCTTTGCATGTGTTATTTGTATCACGCACTGTGATAGGAACTAGTTACGGATTATTATTTGTAATATATGTATCATATTTGTTAAGCAGTTTTTTTATTTTAAAAATAACGTAAAAAAATAAGTACTTTAATCGTGAAAAGTGTCGTCAACGTCAATAATAACAACCGTTAACTGTCCACTGCTGAACATAAACCTTTCTTTATTTGGAAGGTTTTGCCAGTAGTTGCAATGCTTGGCAAACGGGTTAGCAACCGCAGTTAGGTTTTGGTAATGTGTAAAGAGTGACCTTACTACCCATCCCTCGACCGGGACAGAGACTGAGAATCTCATTGCTAGCAATATACCCAACCAGGTCAACCTCTTCGCGGTTCTCCCTGGAAACTATCATGGTTAATTCGTAATGAATTCATCATGATGGGCTAACTGGCCTGTTTTCATTCTCATCTATCACCCTTCACTGGTGCTCCGCCAGCGTATACCGATAGCGCAGGCCATACTATACCATTTTCACCCATCAAAAGAAAAAAAAGACCCAATCCTCGACCATTCATTTCGTGAAAAATATATTTTCTAGTAATTCCATTACTCTTATATTGAAACAGAACTACTAAGGAATATAGAGATGATTGATACCTAGATTAAAAATATTTAAATGCAACAACAACCTTGAAGAAACAACTTTATCTCTTTTTTTAAGAACTTCATGCTGTAGTCTCTTGGAAAAACCTCAATATGGGGATCATTCCATAACCTGAGCGTTCATGGGAGGGTACTTTTCTGAAACTGCGCTGTACACGACCGTCTAGGTTTTAATAGTATTGGAGTGAACTCCCTGTCGATGGTGAGCTGTACGATAATAGAAGGTAGAGTGTGAGAGTCTTAGTTTGTTTTATAGGGGTACATACAGCAATACAGTCCACATTATGTACTATTTGAGCTCAGATACGAGTATGAATAGACGTGTCAATAACTATTAACTGAATCCATTTACAAAATAGTTAGAAGGTCGTGAACTAATTCGATAATTGTTCGATCAATTTTGTTTTGCGCAACGCAAAAGATTGGTCCAAGTTACGAAATGTATAATGTTTTTGGTACAGAATATTTATACAATTGAATATACCTTTTTGAAGTCGGTTAAAAATTTAAAATGTGAATTTTTTATAATCTCTATCTGTTATATTAAAAGAAACTTAACAGGAATAACACCTGAGTCCTCAGGCATGGCAATGCATGGGGGATATTATGGGTGAAACAGTATACTCTGTTATGTCCACGGTACTCATGTCTATAGGCGATGGTTACCACTTTCTATCAGGTGGGGCGTCAGCTTGTTTGCCATTCTAAGTTGCTTTAAAAAACATTATTTTAAACTAATTTTGTACTGGTTTTATTAACGTTTTACAATTTGATTTTTTTTTATTTTTTTGTGTGTATATTACTGGATCTGTGATTTGGAACATTTTTTTTTATTTACAGTTTACTTCTATATTTTACTAGATATATATAATATTTGTATGTTTTAAATTTAAATTAAATTATGTTCATAGAAGTATTTATTTTTTATTTAACTCTTTATTGCACCATAAATAAAAATATACAATGACAAGTGAATAATTCAAGTGAAATACAGTAACATAAATACAGATTGAAATATACACATAAAGGTACAAAAGGCAGTCTTATCGCTAGGGCAATATAGTATAATAGTTTTAATTAGTTAGGGAAGTATAATAGTTTTAATTTTGAAATTAAATATTTTTGATATTTAAACTTGGATATTTTTTACAAGTTTTTTATTTGAAAAACAAAAATACTGTTGACCTCGATTCAAGGAGATATTTTTAATATTTTAGTTGACGCTAAAGTTGAAACGTGTGTGTTCTAAAGAACGACAAAGAAGCACGTTAAAATAAAAGATAAATATTATGCTAAGTTATAGTTAAATAGTAATAATAAATAGTAATATATAAAAAGTAATAGTTAAAGTATTTGTCACAATTTAAAAATTAAATATTGACTTTGAAAAGCAAGCAGTTCACTCGTTATACCAACACCATTCAAAGTTATAAACAGTTTTACTTGGTAATAAGTAAAATAACTTAAGTTTGTATGTAACAAAAAAAAAAGACTTTTGTTGTGGTTTGATTTTAAAATTAAACTACTAAACCTATATTGATAATATTTCCATGAGACCAATCTAAAAGTATATCCTTTCAGATAAAAAAATAATTTCCGAAATCAGTTTATAAATGACGAACGAATGAAAGGAGGAAGTTTTAGTTTAGTATTTTTTTTATGTTCACTACCTCATAACTCCGTCAGTTCTGAACCGATTTGGGAAATTCTTTTTTATCTGAAAAGACTTGTTTCCGTAGAAGTTTTGTCAAAATCGATTCAGTTTTTAGATCAAAATAACTAGTTTTGTCACAACTGAAGTCGCTTTCTTTTGTGGGATAAAATTTTTAAACATCACGCGTCTAAATAGTTACTAAAATGAATCATCGATCGCTATCAGTTTATAAACTAGGGCACCGCACGGCTCCTGTCTCTCACATCAATCCTAATAAAAACATAACGAGATCGTCGATTAAACAATTTGGCTCGCGACAGTTTTGTATAACCAACTGTAATTGTTATTCATTAAACAATTTAACATAACAATGCAATATCAAATTGTAAAGATCTTTTCAACCGACTCCAAAAGTTCCAACTCCAAAAATTTTATACATTAATTTTTTTTCTATTTTTGTAACCTCATGACTTCAAAAAGAATGTTTGATTGATCAAACATGGACACAACTGAGTACAGCGTTTCGTCCATGATACCTCCCATGCGTTGCCATTCCTGAGGACTGAGGTGTTATTCCTCTGTACACTGTAAATTCACTCCATATCCCACCCTTCAAACCGAAACACAGCCATGCAAATACAACTGTTTTACGGTTTAAATAGGAATGGAACAAAGTTTTTAGAGTAAAGTTTTTCCCGACAAAAATAATAGTACGATCCTGGTGAGTGGTTTAAACGGAGTGCACCCATAAATCTGCAGCGTACCCGCTTCATTACGCGACCGACAACTGTCTGGATGGGTTCGCGTTTCGCTTTGTAGATTCTATGTAGGTAGCGTCTTTAAATAATATAATATGTATGCAAATATTTCAAACTAGCGACCCGCCCCGGTTTCGTAGAGATGTAATGCTGATACAAAATAACGCCGCCGCGCCGGCCCCCATTACCATATGACATTACATTAGAAACCTCTAAAATTATCAGTGTTTCTCTACTATATCTACATTTCTTAACTTATTAACTTAATCTAATTTAATTTATTAATTGTCATCGTTAAATAGTAAAATAAATAAACGTCGATTTCATTTAGGTAATAAAATTGTAAATTATGTAAAAAAAAAATATTTTCTTACGAAATACTATACGAATTTAAAAAAATGGCTCACCCGTTTAAAACGGGTAGGGTAGCTGATAGCTCGGATGATAAGTGCTAGGTAGAGTGGAGTTCGCGGCTATAAATTACAGAGTACGTTTCATTTCCTCTACGGAATCTGTTCTTACGAAAACATGGATGTACAAATATTGGAAGTACTTATAATAGATAGTTACGAATTATTAAATTTTATACTTAAATATATGTTGTGTGGTCACGGCGTAGTAGGGGCCCCTTTTCCCTGGATATCGTAAGAAGTAACTAAGAGAACCCAATGATCCAGGTATAGGCGGCAGCGCTCTTCTTTAAACATTTTAAAATTCTAACTGCAGTTGCCGACCTGTTTGCTGCGCGTAGCTACTACTCGCAAAGTCGCCTTTGGGGGAAAGGCATATGTTCAGCAGTGGATAGTTAACGGCTGATATAATTATCATTATACATCACATAGTGATGTTCGTCTATCGACAAACATCACCATGTGATGATCGAGTAAGAACATTATATGCAATGCACTCTTGTAAGGGAAGAAATTTGATGAAAAGACATTAATTCTAATTTGCTAGCAATAGGTCAACCTCCGTGCGGCAACCTTCAAAATTTTGTTGTCAAAAGAAATACACTGGCGGGTTGACCACTATGCGGTTCCCCTCGAAATAATGATAATATATTATCAGTCTTCAAAGAAACCTAGCATGAAGACATTTTTTTTTATACAACTTAGA